GTGCCTTAATAGATCGTTCCACAACACATGTGGGTACATATCAAAACGTAAAGTATTTGAAATAATATACATATAGAAATATATAACAGTATATTATTTTTAAAATATATAAAACTTGAGTGGGGGCCAAGGACCACACTGGTCCCAGTGTGGCTCCGCCAGATTTTGGAAGTTCTTAACTAGTCATCCTTGCGTTTTCTCATAATAGGAGGACTAGTTATTTTTGAATTTATTATTTAAAATATAATACAAAAATATTAAAAAAAAAATTCTTTGTTTTTATTTTTATTTTCCTATTTTCTTGATTTTGCGTGGTGTTACAATTTCTTTTTCATTTGTGTGCTTTATTTAGAATTTTGGATTTTGTTGCGTCTTGTACTCTTCTTAGTAATTCTCTTGGAATTCCCATACTTCGTTGATGGAACGATTTCGAGGAAATTGGAAAAGAACAATTCAAATAACTAGTTTTTTTTTTTTTTTTTTTTTTTTTCCACTATCTCAATTATTGCATTTGTCCTACCCTCATTTTCAACATAAATATAAAGACTTCTGCACAAGTGCTAGCTACCCTCAACCTTTCCTTCGCAACAATGGAGTTGTATCTCCCATGCCTAAACACTGCCATAGCTGGAATCTTAGCCACACTTGTGTTTTCCTACTTTATCATAAAGAGATCAAGCTCTGGTGCCAAAGCCAAGGGTCCCAAACCACCAAAAGTGGAAGGTGGGTGGCCTCTGCTAGGTCATCTCGACCTATTCGGAGGATCTCAGCTTCCTCACATAGCTTTGGCTTCCTTGGTTGGCAAGTATGGACCAATCTTCACGGTCAATATTGGCATCCACTCCGCTTTGGTGATAAGTACTTGGGAGGCGGCCAAGGATTGCTTCACCACAAACGATATAGCTGTTTCCTCCCGTCCTGCTACGCTAGGGATTAAGCACTTGAGCTACAACTTTGCCATGTTCGGGTTTAGCCCCTACGGTCCATACTGGCGTGAAATTCGCAAACTGACATCCCTCGAGCTACTCTCAAACCGCAGGCTCGAGCTAATGAGAAACGTTAGAGCATCCGAAGTAGAGATGAGCTTAAAAGAGCTGTACACCCTATGGAGCAACAAAAAAGAAGGGTCGGGGGAGCTTTTGGTGGAGATGAAGCAGTGGTTTGGAGGTTTGACTCTAAATGTGATTTTTAGGATGATTGCTGGAAAGAGATGCTTTATGAATGGGGATTTGAGTGAGGAGAAGGAGGCAAGGCGGTGGCAAAAAGCCATGGGGGAGTTCTTTCATTTGCTGGGATTGTTTTTGTTGGGAGATGCTGTTCCTTGGCTTAGTTGGTTGGATTTGGGTGGACAACAGAAGGCCATGAAGAGAACTGTCAAAGAACTGGACAGTATTCTTGCGAAATGGTTGGAGGAGCACAAGCAGAAAAGAACTAAAGGGAAAGATCAAGATTTCATGGATGTCATGCTTTCAGCCATCGATGGAGCACATGTTGCTGGCTTCGATGCTGATACTGTCATCAAAGCAACATGTTTGGTATATTTACAACAACGACCTCAATGGTCATATGCTAAATTTGTTTTATTAATCACCAAAGTTTTGATTGTGCAGGCTATGATTTCTGGAGGGAGTGACACAACCATGGTGACCTTGACGTGGACACTCTCTTTGCTTTTGAACAACCGCCAAGTTTTGAAGAAACTTTATGAAGAATTTGACCAGCATGTTGGCAAAAGAAGATTGCTGAATGAGTCAGATATAAATAATCTGGTGTACTTGCCGGCCGCTATTAAAGAAGCAATGCGTTTATGCCCACCTGGACCACTCTCAGTCCAGAGGGTGTTCAGAGAAGACTGTACCGTAGGAGAGTACCAGGTTCTAAACGGCACTTGGCTGCTAGTGAACCTGTGGAAGATCCAAACTGACCCTCGGGTTTGGGCCGACCCGATGGAGTTCAAGCCAGAGAGATTTCTCACTACCCATAAGGATGTTGATGTTAGGGGTCATCAATTTGAGCTAATGCCGTTTGGGAGTGGTAGAAGAGCATGCCCTGGGATAAGTTTTGCTCTTCAGATGATGCTTTTAACTTTGGCTAGTTTTTCTTCGTTCGGATGTCACGACCCGAGGAAATGCACCAGTTGATATGACTGGAAGCGTTAGATTTACGAACATGAAACTCACCCCTCTCGATGTCCTCGTCAAACCACGCTTGTCTCCACATCTTTATGAATAAGTTCTGAATGAGAATATAGCTATGTGTGAAAATAAATATTGTGATATAAAACAAAATGCACATATACATATATGTTCTGAACGTATTAAGCTAAAAAGGTTGGCTTTACTAAATCTATCTTCTACTTATGAGCTTCATGTTCGTATATAAGCTTGATGAGTTTCCTCTACTTTTGACAAATGGGTTCCAATTTTTAGTTAACATACACGCACGATGGAAAAAGGAGAACAGGACCAGCTTTCCCATGGCAAAACATTGAAGGACAACACTTGGTATAGCGCTAGAGAATCTAGACAGGAGAGAGCATGAGAGAGAGAATGGGCCCCAACACATGTTGGTCTTTAGCTACGGGGATAATGATACCTTTGAACACATTGCATGGCAAGGAGACTACAGATGACATTAAAATTCGCTGACCTTAATCTAATTATGTTAATTCTTTGTTTTGACAGCATTTTTACCTTGTGTGACATTTGGGCAGATCGCAGAGGTATAGGATGAAGGAGAAATGCGTAAGGCCTCATCGTATATGCAATTTTTATGATTTAAATTTATTTCATATGGTCATGCATTAGAGTAACGGGTTGAACAGTCTTTTGTTTTCCATCATGTCCATCAAAGTCACTTTAAGCTTCTTGCAAAAAATTTAGTTGAAGACTTGAAGTCCCAGCTAATTTGCACTGTTTACCGGACCATTGTGATTGATGAAAACTTGGTCATTGCAGCTTGCCACCTGGGGAGCTTCATATACTTATTGATGATTATGGGCTCAAAGTATAGAACAAAGCTGAGGCAGAGGTATAACCTGGTAGAAGCTCCACACCACAGATGTGATCTCCCATGTCTTTTGTTTGTCACGAATTCAGAGAGCTCAGAAACAGAGGATTTGATCCTGCTCTAGGTATCCACCACAGAACTAGTCTAGTGCTTCACACTCAATTTATTATTTGATAGATGAAAAATCATATAGCAAATTCAATATCGCCAATTTCTTCTCTATTAGTGTGAACCATGGACTAATGGGGTTTATAATGTTTGCTTTACAAATAACCAAAAGCATTTTCGGACTAATTTTTCTCAAACGAAATAATTATTGGTGAACTTTTCGGCAAAGAAGTCATAATGACATTTGTTGAATATTGTCTGCAGGATGGAATGGAATTCTTGTTAAACGGACTGAGGACAGAACCACAGAAATTCCTTCTCGGACTCAAGCCATGTATAAGTGAAAGTTTTTGTCACCCCTAGAAAGTATATCCTTTTTTTGCTCTTCTTTCAACTGTGGGTTATATTTATAAGCTTATAATGTGATTTCTGGGGTCGATTCGCTTGTTGTTATAACTTGTTACACTACCCCATTCTCATAGCTTGTGCCCTTTTCTGTTAATTTGAAGCAATGTAAGTATAGTTGTGCAGTATCTATGCCAATGATTGTTTTATATAAAGTGAGTCTCCAATCCTTACATACTTTTCATCTCAATCAATGTTATGTTAGCTTGATATGCACAAATGGTCCAATGATCTCACTAATTCTCTTTGTGATAAATATTTCTACCCCAAAACTTAAAGCTGCTTTACAAATTCTTTGGCTCAAAGACTGGATATAAAATGATAACGACATTGCGAAGTTTCTGGAAAACCTAGTTAAGGCCCTTAAGAAGACGAGGTTCTTCAAGTGCAGATGTTCTGAAATCCCAAGGAATCTTTATGCTCAATATTTTTAATCATGTTTTTTACGCCAATCCCACCTGTTTAGAGGAAAACAAAAGCATTCGCTCACCATCTAAACATAAATATATTGGCTTTGAACAAAAGGAAACAGTGCATGTATGTAAGAATGAGACATACCTAACATCAGTGAACTCACAAATACTGTGAAAGCTAGAATGAAGATAATCAAAGATGCTCTTCCTAATTTCTTAATCACCTTTCCTGCCACATGTTGCCCTGCGATTGCAGAAACAGTAGTCACAGCAGCAAAGTAGAGAGCTGCAAGAGAATTACAATGAAAGAAACCAACATTTCTTTTAATAGATAAAATTTCTTCTAAACATCCATTTGTGTAGTTACTAATTGATTCAAAGAAAACTTGAATGGCTAAAAAAGTTACCATAGGGAACTGGAAAACGGTTTAGGAGGTAGTATTCTACAACAGACATGGATGAAGAGAATGTCATGGCAAAGGTGGCCGTGGCACTTGACACCTATATGAAAGTTCTCATCACAAATAAGGACTTAAGGTATCAGATAATTACTTAAGGAGAGAATAGTTTCTAATGGATAGCTTCTCCTCTTTAAGTGGTGGAGTTAAGGAAGTGAAATTAGGAAAAAAAATGTGCATTATGGTGTAACTAATGGAACATGTGTTTTTCAAGCTGATTTTACTTCCAAGAAAAAAAAAGTGTGCTTCATTATGTAATTGAATACAAAAATTGTGGGATAAACTCAAGAAAAACAAACATCAATTGTTAATTTTGAAGTATGAAATGTACCTGAGGAGGAATTCCCATCTCCAAAAACATTGGACCCAACATAAACGCTCCACCGAGGCCAAGCAATCCACCAAGCATACCAGCTGCTGTGCCACAGGCACAATAAGAAACAAGCTTGTACAATGGCCACTTTGTGGTTTCTTCTCCCTTGGATGCAATTACTCTCCGGCCTTTGTACAGGTTAACTGCCTGATATGAAGTTACACCAACAGCCACCGGAATCTGATAGATACAGGAAGAAAGGAAGAAAAGAAAAAAAGTTCTCATTATAATGGGATTCTTACTTAAGCCATATTTGTAGCCACAAGGAAGTTTGTCTTCTTGATAGAAGGAGCACAGAGGTACCTGTGAGAGTTCTACCAACCAATATGTCAGTGAACATTTTGTCACATAATTCTGTGTCAACAAGTTGGATTTCGATCAATTGGATTTCTTAATGCATTGAAGTGAAGGGAAATTCCAAATAGTAAAGTTTCAAAGGAACATCAAAATGCATATGAAACTAGATAAAAACCTTAACAATCTGCAATGCCAGTATTATGATCCATACAGCAACAATTACTCCAAGTTCCTTCCAGCGAACATTATCTAGAACAGGAACCTGGGACGGTTGCTTAAGTCAGTCCTTAGAACCATACATCAAAGAAGTTTAAGCTTCATAAATTTTACCGCTGTTCGTTCAGGTTCCTTGGTTTCTGTTAGAGTGCCATTGCTTGGGCCTCCCGGAATATGTTTGTCTTCAACATCTTCATTAGCAAGAGCAAATTAGACTTGCAATATGTATATGTCAGAGTTTGAATAGGTCATCAAGAAATTATAGGCCAACCCACCATTTGATTGCAACTGTTTTGAACCATCAAACATGTTCTAAAAATAATGAAACAAGTTGTGAAGTATTAGATGGATTAGAAGTGCGGAATATACAATCAACTTGAAGAACAAAGAAAAGTTTAAAGCCTGCCTTTTTAGTTATAGTTTCTCTTTTCCATGTCTCAACACCCTTGAAGAACGACTTAGTTGATACCCCTGCAGATCACGACCACTCATGGAAGTTCTCAAAAGATGTAAAGGAAGAAGATTTGCAGCTTAGAAAAGTGTTACCTAAGAGCACAATAAATAGTAGGATGGTGATCATCCAGTCAGAAAGAACCACATTCAAAGAAACTCCAATGCTGATCCCAAGAACCAACACAGGTTGGAAAAGAAGAGCGAGATCATAGTCAATGATGGGCAGGTCAAGTGTAGGATGCCTTCGCCTTAAATTATACATGACCGTTGCTGTTGCTGTGCCTGTGATCATACCTGACTGACCACAAAGAAGCAAAATTGAGGTGTTTGAACAGAAAAGAACAAGATAAATTAGCACAAGAATGAGATGAATTTAAAACTGTGATATATGAAAGTATATATATGTTCTCACATTTGGAGACTGCAATTGATGATTTCTGGTCAAATCCAATAATGAGGGTGAGCATTGGGATGAAAAAGCCACCCCCACCAACACCTCCCACACTCCCAAATGCTGCTCCAACAAATGCAATCATCGTACCCACCGCGATTTTCCCACCAAATCTGATATCCTGTATATGATCATCACTACAAAGTTTGAACTATTTGGAAGCACCATTTAAACCTGCTATTCAGTTTTACCTACTAAAATGCATTGAAAAAATATGAGTTTTTGTTTGTTTGTTTAATGGTAAAACAGAGAGAACAAAAGGTATATATAACAGGGAGGTAGAAGATTTACAAAAAAACAGTTTTTACATTCCAAATAGATCATCCTTGGGCAAGGCACATTTTCTCAGCAGCCTAACATGCATTTAGTCAACAAACCCAACGAAGGTAATAGAAAATCGGACTTACAGGCCACACATGCTTATAACCCAAGTGAGATTGAACCTCTTTCCCAGTAATATTCTGGCTTGAAGGTTGTGAGCCCAACATTTCTTCATGTGCTGAAACTGCTGCAGATGATAATGCTAATAAAACCAGAAAACCAACTCCAAGAGTTCCAATCTTACCAGCCATTTTCTCAGAACTTCCTCCTAAACCCAATGCAGTATAACCAAAACTAATACATATATATGCCAACGGGGTTTAGCCTAGTGGAAAAGGGCTTTGACTTGTAGACTAGTGATTTCAGGTTTGAACCCCCATGGTACTTTGGTAGTATAAGTGTGAGAAACCCCCCTCCTCGCTTGTATTAAAAAAAAAAAAAAAAAACTAATACATATATATTATATATACTATGACTTGGATACAAAAGAAAGTATCTAGATGTATGTACAGAACGTATAGCAGGATCTCGAAAATAAGAAACTTTCTGCTGGCATTGGCTTTGATTTAGTCTAATTTATATTTTTCAGATTCATTATGTGTATGCATGCTAATGGAAGAAAGATTTTGTCGGTTGACTGATATTGAGTGATGGTTGATGTAAGACATTCACGTACGACAGTATGACTTGATTAGCTACCAACTTTGAACCTCTCTAATTACTTCTCTCACCCATATATATTCACTGCTCACCCATACACATTTATTGCTCGGACCCTTTGCCTCTTATATAACGTATATGGAACTCAAAACTACAGGACAATTTTACTCTGAATTAACAAACGTTTCGCCCCAGGGAAAGGGACTAAATGATTTTTTATTTTGTGCAAATTGCTCCATTTGGATGGAATGTATTTGAAAGAAAGGATTTGGATTCGACAATAAGGCTATAAATTTTCTATAAAAAAGCTATAAAACATTAGACTGTGTTTTATACCAGTTTCTAAGCTTATAGTGTTCTAACATTGGACTAATTAATATCAGTTTCTAATCTTATAGTTTTCTAAAATCAAATAATCTGAGCTAAGGACTTAGGATCCTTTGCTGCACTTTCTCTCAAACCCAATGTACTCCTTGTGCTCAATTTGCTTAACCATGTTTGCTATGCCAACTCTACCTGTTTAGAAGCAAAAACTATATATGTTAGCAGAAAATTCATATCTTGAGCTTAACATGAGGTTAAAAGTAAAAGAAGAAAAGAAAAAAAAAAAAAAAGGGTTTGCATGGGTAAAATGGCACATACCTAAGGAAACTGTACTCCCAAGTGTTGTGAAAGCCAGAATGAAGATGATCAAGTATGTTCTTCCTAAGGCTTTGATCACCTTTCCTCCAAAATTTTGCCCTATGACGGCAAAAAGAATTGTCGCAGCAGCAAAGTAGAGAGCTGCAAAACAATTACAATGACAGAAGCCAGCATTTATTTGAAAACAGAAATTGCCTTCTAAGCACAAGTAGTGATTAATTTATGAACAGAAATGTGAATGGCTAAGAAATTTAACATAGAGAATTGGAAATTGTTTTAGGAGGTAAAATTCTACAACAGACATGGATGAAGAGAATGTAATGATAAAGGTGCTTGTGGCACTTGACATCAGCAGAAAAGTTCTCAACAAGTTAATATAATGATCATCATATTTTGTTAGCTTTTACTCTGAGGGATGGAACTAATAAGAAGTGAATGCGACGAGAACAAATACTTTAGAATTGTACAAGGCACCCAAAGAAAAACAAACTCAACTACATCACTTATCAAATGTTGAAGTATGAAATGTACCTGAGGAAGGATCCCAATCTCCAGAAACAGTGGACCCATAATGAATCCTCCACCTAAACTCAGCAAACCGCCAACTATTCCGCTGCTATGCCACAGGCAGAATATAAAACAAGCTTGTGCACTCTCCAGTTTGCACCTTCTTGTCCACTGGATGCAATTGTTAACCGCAGCATATGACTTGCTTCAACAGCCACTGGAATCTGATTGATGTGGGACAGAAGGAACAAAAAGTCCTTAGTTGAGGTACATATTTCACAATCACTACTTTCAAGCACAAGGAAGATTGTTTTCTTGATACAGGGAGCATGGAAGGTACCTGTGAGACATCTAGTAACCAATATGCCACTGAACATTTTGTCACATGTTTCTGTGCCAGTGAAAATAAGTTTCCCATCAACTGGCTTCTTGATGAATACAAGTGATGGAAATTCCAAATAAAAAAGTTTCACTAGACAAACCATAGCAATTTGCAATGCAACTATTGCAACCCAGACAACAGCAACAACTCCAAATTGCCTCCAGCAAAACACTATCAAGCAGTGAAACATGGGGAGTTCAGAGAAGTCAGTCCATAAAAAACATGCATAAAGTTTAGCTTCAAAACTCTAACCCTTGCTTTTTTAGCTTCCTTGGTTTCTGTTGTGCCATTGCTTAGGCCTCTAGGAATGTTTCTGTCTTCAACGTCTTCATTTCCATCACCTAACTAAGGAGCATGCGTTTTAGCCTAGCAACTGACAGTTCAAATATATCTGCGTCAAAACAGATGAAAGACATAATACCAAAGTGAAAAATGATTGAGCAACTCACATTTGGTTGCAAGCGTTTGGAAGCATCCATTAAATTCTGAAAGCAATAAAGCGAGGTGCAATTGAGATGGATCAAGTAATGCAATCCCAGAATATACAACTAGTCTAGAAACAAGCAAAATCCAAAGACCACCTTTTTAGTTATAGTTTCTTTCTTCCACGTCTCCACTGCTTTAAAGAACGATTTTGTCGTTGTGCCTGCAGTTATATCATACATGAGGAAGTTGTCCAATTGTGAATGGGGAAGGTTGCACCTAAGCAAATTGTTACCTGTGAGGACAATAATCAGTAAGGTGGTGATCATCCATTCAGAGAGAGGGACTTGGTCACATGATCAGATGGCTTCACAGCATGAACGTGGCGCTAATGACGCGTCTAGTAGGGAGCAATCTCCTGATCTTGGCGAAGTTGAGAGGGAGAGAGTGAGGCAGATTGTACGAGGATGGATGGAAACTGGCATTAGTGATCATTCATCCAATGTTGCTCCCTGGACCAACGTCATGGCTGTGGGAATGGTGAAGCTAAATATGCCATTGTGGATCATAAATGTGGAAGCTGCGGGCATGGTTTGTTGTGTTGGAAAGTAGTTGATCAACAACTGCAGCTGCTGATGATTCACGAAAATATTATTAGTATTACTCTGAAAATGATTCATTGCCATGTTTGGCTTGGGGAGACCTGGACGAAGATGATAATTAAGTAGGCTTTTTATTAACAAAAAGCAACATCGCCTAACATTCAATGGAACTCCAATGCTAATCCCCACCACCAGCGTTGTTTGAAATAGAAGAGCAAGACCATAGTTGATGAGGGGCAACTCGAGTGTCGGATGCCTTTGCCTTAAATTGTACAAGATAGTTGTAGCTGCTCCCCCTGTGACCATACCTGACCAACCAGACAGAACATTCAAAATAGCCTACAGTTGTTTAAATGGAAAGCAAAAGGTAAATAATTTTTCAATGTACTAACTTATAAGACCTATTTAAACTAATAATATACACATAATTAAGGCAAAAACAAATTAAACCTATCAGGATGTAAACTTAGGCATCAGTTTTGGAACAACAAAACAGAAAATATTGACTAATGCATTATGGAAATTTCATTAAATATGTCCAGAACTCATTAGGAAATTAATAACACACCCAATAAAAGCTAATGCATGACATTCAAGCAGAGAAAGCTAGAAATTCTTACAATATGAAACTCGGATCTAAAGTTTTAGAAAGTTGGATAGTCTTGGGGGTGACTGAAACTGTAAATCGGTGGAATTTCATCAAATCAATAATATTTGAGTTGAAAGTAAAGATGTAAGAGGCTTGTTCAGACGGTGAAAACATAAAAACATGTGATCAAAGTACTTACAAGTTACATGTTGATATTGCCGTTGATGATCTCTGATCAAACCCAATAATCAGGGTGAGCATTGGAACAAAAAGAGCCACCTCCTCCAATACCTCCCACGCTCCCAAATGCTGCCCCAACAAATCCAATTATTGTACCCACCAAAATTTTCCAGCCAAATCTCATTTCTTGTGGCAAATTTTAATTATTTCTAACACTACGTACCACATTGTTTATTAAGTACTATAGCTAGAGTTTCACATTCTTTTATTTCAAATTTATTATTTGTATGACAGAGGTGGTTTGGGAGTCAGCTAGAATCATCGGTGAAGGGCTGACGCCGGCAGTGAGAGCCAAACCTCCAATTACTGACCCTTACCCTAAAATTACTGTTGTTAGTGCAACAAGGGCAGTACCGTCAATTTATTCGAGGCATTTCCGAGAGTACTTGGTCGAAACAGTTGGTGAGACCCTACTGGTGTTTCTTATTTCTAATAAACGTTCAACTGATGTTGTGGGCAGTGTGGAGGTTTTCAGGCTTCATCTTGGTAAACTCTCATGGAGAGCCCTGGAGATAGAGCATTGTTTGTTGGGGTGAATTGTTGTATGGTAGTCTCTGCAAGCAAGTCCCCCCCCCCCCCCCCCCCCCCCCCAACAACCTTTCAAATGGGCAATCTAGTCATGCAAATGGGTAGCCACCTCTATATAATATTCCTTCATTATAATTAATTGAAACTTCTTCACAAGTTTCATGATAATTATAAAAATAAAAATAAAAAAGGTTAATAAAATCTAACAAATTAAAACACTTTTTAACTACTAATAAATTAATGTCCAAACAACCAAAACAAATATTTGATCTCTCAGTTTCACTGGGAATTCTCTGAATGAAAGGTTTTTTTACTTACCAGAAAAGAAGAAAGATTTCTTGATACCAAAGAAAAGTAATTTAGAAGTTACCATAAAAATTTATAATTTAAAAAAAAAATGTACCCTAGCTTTCGCAAACATATATATAATATACTCTTTTTGTAATTGGGTTGTATCCATATATCGAGAACTCTATAGCTTTTGCACAGCCAAGACGATGATGAAAGAACACATCTCATGGCTTTGCACGTTTCTTCTTGTGGTCGCCATTGGTGATTAGCTTCTGCGTAAAGGGGACTTAAAAAGAGG